GCTGCTTCCAAAGGCACTGATTATGGATTCAAGTAAAACGAAATCCCAGACCACTTTAAACTTTTTTCCATTTCTCATGATGCTACTTAGTGATCCAATTGAAAAGATTTTATGTTATCCTTATACTGAGGTATAATGCATACTGATGGATGTAGTCTCTGATCTTCATCAGTGTTTTGAGTCCTTTTTGCTTTTAGCAAAAAAGGCTTGGTCATCTGCATATCACAGATTGTTAATTAATCTTCCTCCAATTCTAACACCATGTTCCAATTCATATAGTCCAGCTTCTTGCATTATTTGCTCAACGTACAGATTGAATAAATTTGGTGAAAGGATATAACTTGATGTACACCTTTTCGGATTTTAAACCACTCAGTATCCACTTGTTCTATTCAAACAATTATCTCTTGGTTTATGTAAAGTTTTCTCATGAGCACAATGAAGTGTTCTATCATCCACATTCTACCCAATGTTATCAATAATTTGTATGACACACACAAATGCCTTTGCATAGTTAATAAAACACAAGTAAACATCTTTGTGATATTCTCTGATTTCAGTCAAAATCCATCTGTCAACAGTAATGATATCCCTCCTTCCACATCCTCTTCTGAATCCAGCTTGAATTTCTGGCAGTGCCCTGTCAATATGCTCACAGCGGCAACCATTTTTTAATTCTTTTCAGCAAATTTTGCATGCCAATAATACTGATATTGTTCAATAATTTCCACATTCTCTTGATTCACTGTTCTTTGGAATGGGCACAAATATAGGTCTCTTCCAATAGGTTGGCTAGATAACTGTCTTCCAAATGTCTTGGCATAAATGAGTGTGCTTCCAGCAATGCATTCATGTGTTGAAACATTCAATTGGTATTCCATCAATTCTTGGAGCCTTGTTGTTCACCAATGCTTCAGTGCAGGTTGGACTTCTTCCTTCATTACCATTTCTTGATCATATGCCACCTTCTATAGTGGTAAATTTCCATGATTGTGCATTCCTTCAATCAGCTTTGGATGCTTGCTGTGTTGTTCAATATTTTGCCCACATAATCTTTCATTATTGCAGCTCAAGGCTTGAATTTTTTCTTCTGCTCTTTCAGCTTGAGAAATGCTGACAGTGATCCTCCCTATTGCTTTCCTAACTCCAGTCTTTGCAAGTATATTATAATATTTTATTTTGTCCTCTTGGCTGCCCTTTGAAATCTTCTGTTCAATTGCTTTACACTTCATCATTTCTTCCATTTGCATTAGCTAGTCTACACTCAAGAGCAAGTTTCAGAGTCTCTTCTGACATGCATTTTATACATATATACATTCATATGGGGTCATATATAAATATACTAATATCTATATCCATCTATCTATATAGATATATAGATATATATATCCCTACATATGGTGAATTCCATGATTTATAAATGTTGTTGTTGTTGCTAAGTGCCGTGGAGTCAGTTCTGACTCATAGTGACCCTGTACAGGGTTTCCAAGGCTGTAATCTTTACAGGAGCAGAATGCCTCATCTTTCTCCCGTGGAACTGCTGGTAGTTTCGAACTGCTGACCTTGAGGTTAGCAGCCTGATTCATAACCTCTATGCTACCAGAGCTCCTTATGATTTATGAATACATGTGCATATATCCCCACACATAAGTCTATGTTGTATATTTGTGTACAGATATTATATTTGCCCAGGAGATGTTTTAGGCTGGAGAAACAGAGATCTCTTTTATGCCAAAATCATATGTCTTTAACATGAGTTTTTGGCTTACTTGGCTTACTGATATCTGGCACACATATACTAACTACTACATACTAATAATTCAGATATTTCAAAACAATGGCTTTCAGTAAACATACAGAATGGATAAAGACAATTTTTTACTTAATGCACCATGATAATTTTACTGTCTTTCAAAGCTTGTGATTCCTGTTTGTTAACTTAAGTGTATTATTGTTGCTGTTGTTAAGTGAGTGTCACTGAGTCAGTTTTGACTTATAGCAACCCCTGGATAGGATTTTCAAGGAGTATCTGGTGAGTTTGAACCTCCAACCTTGTGGTTCAAAGTGAACTTGCAGTGTACTGCTTTATACCACAGTGCCACACCAGGACTCCTACTTAAGTATATTGCAGCGGTGGTGGTTATGTACCACGGAGTCGGTTCTGACTCATAGCAGAAAACCTCATCTTTCTCCTGCAGAACGGCTGGTAGTTTTGAACTGCTGACCGTGAAGTTAGCAGCCCAACTTGTAACACTATGTTACCAGAGTTATTCACTTAAGTGTATTGTTGTTGTTGTTAAGTGCCATCCAGTTGGTGTCGATCCATAGCGACCCTGTGTAGGGTTTCTGAGAAGCAGCTGATGAACATATATAGTAATTGTTGTTTTTGGTAAGTACCATGGAGTTGGTTTGACTCATAGTGACTCTGTACAGGGTTTCCTAGGCTGTAAATTTTTACATGATCAGGAAGCCTCATCTTTCTCCCGTGAAACAGCTGGTAGTTTCGAACTGCTGACCTTGAAGTTAGCAGCCTGATTCGATTCATAACCACTACGCTAATTAAGGACCATTATTGTTTCTCTGCAAATTTAGCAGGAGAAATGTTCTAAATCCTTATGGGCTGACCATATGTTCTTATTTAAATTGTAACATACACAGGAAATTATAATCTATAAGAATCATAATAGCAACCATAAATTGGGTACAGAAGGTACTAGACATTTGGCATCCATTATTTCATTAAAACCTTAAAATGGCCTGCAAGGTAGATGTCATATCCTCTGTTTTTTAAAATAGGGAAGCTAAGACTCAATGAGATAGAGGAACTTTCCAAAGATACTCAACTATTTATCTAATAATGAAACAGTCTAAATTTTCAGGATTCTACCCTGAAGTCCAAACTTCTTTCAGTAGGCAATTGTATGTCTTATAAAATTTATAGAAACCACCTTTGGGGTCCTGGTGTGGCACTGTGGATTCATGTGCTGTACTCCAAGGTCGGTTTGAACCAGAAGGTCAGAGGTTCAAGCTCACCAGCCACTCCTCAGAAACCCTATACAGGGTTGCTATAAGTTGGTACTGACTCCACGGCACTTAACAACAATAGCAATCTTTAAGGTATACATTTGTAGGGAATTTTTACAGTATATGGATGTTTCAATATAATTCTCTACACATAGAGACTAGACCAAATAACAGCCAAACACAGTGATGATTACTCCATGCTACAGACAGCAAGGAGCAAATGTGTCTCAGAAAACAATTATCCTGTGTTTTTCATAATATGAAGCATTTTCCATTTGATTGTGTCCTCCAAAACAAAATCTAAGCTCTAATAGAACTTCATTATTCCTCCTCTTATACAAAAAAAAAAAAGGACTTTTATTTGTGAGCAAATGGAAAGTTCTTAACTCATTTCCTTATATTACTTGAAATGAAAGTGATTTTCTGTCTTTACAGAAAAGGATTGATGGATGCTCTGCCTTTTCAGTGGTGGTAAGTCCCATAATCAATACTGTGATGGTGAGAAAATTGACTTTTACATATTTGTTAAGGAGAGTGGGTTGTTTTTTAATTTAATGATAGTAAAATTCTAAAAAAAAAAAAAAAAATTAAAAGAGAGTGTGTGGTGGGGAAGCCTTCCCTCCCAATTTAAAGACTTAGCTGTTCTGTTTGACCATCTTTCCAGGAGCAGGTCTGAGAAGAGGAAGGCAATCATATGTTTAAATTTTTTAATACAGATTTTTTTTTGAACGTTTATAACTAAAAACGGTGAAGAACGTTACCACTTGTTCTCATCTACCCATACACTGCTTGGAAAGATTCTATCAAGAGCAGAGGAAAGTACTCCTCAGCTGGCCTACAATCTCCAATCAGAAAGAGTCAAATGCCGCATCTTTAGCTTCTAGGGATAAAATGGGGAAGATGGGTGAGCACCTCTCTGGCCCTTCAACGGGCTAAGGAAAGTGGAGAAAGAAGAAAAGGAAGGAGAACTGCCTTACCTACAATCTAACCACAACCCCTGCCGCAGGGACCTATTTTTAGACACTTAAACGGAAATTCCCAGAAAGGAAGGGAAACTACAACCTCTGAGTGATCCTCTGCGTTCTCATTTTCAGTCTAGTTCCTCTGTGTTCTTATTTTCAGTCTAGTT